TACAGGTAGGCTAAGCTTGAGTTAAATATACAAACTATAAGTCACCTATACTGAAGCTATCTCATCAGCCAATGGTTGGCCTCTGACAACCCTGGTATCAGAATGAGGAAGTGTACATCACAAATTCGCATTCTCAATATCGAAATACATCGATGTATTTCGACTTTGACTGCACGAACGCAGCGGAGGCTCGCTTTACAGCTAAAGCCTCGATAAGCACTTGAGCGCTCTTCTTCTCAGTCTCCACTTCGACCGTTGGCATGCCCCGTGGCACTGCGAAGAGCGGTGCGAAAGCACACCCCAAGGCTGAATGCCGGAAAGGCGCAAGCCAAGAGCACAAAGCCTCGCGGCAAAGGATCTGCACTCCAAGAGGCTCCTCTTAGGCGTTTGATACGCTCGGCGACAGAGCTGCGAGCAAGCGCGATATATTTCGGTGCTCCGGACAACCGGCCGAACCTGTGAGCGTAGACCGGTTTGTGAGGACGAGGCCGAGACTAGAAGACCCCACAATGTACCTGTGGGGTCCGTGGGAGGGCACACTCCAGTGCCCAGCGATCACGACGACGACAGCGTGCGCTCGCTCGCTAGTGATCACGGCGATCACGATCCTGCCGTTGAGGCTAAGAGCTCGCTCAAGGCTGACAACGACGAGTAAGATAAACCTCTCAAGAACCTCTCGCTCGCCGAGGGCCTTGCGCGTGCTAAGCCTGCTAAAGCCGCAGCCGGAGAGGCCAATCCCTCAAAGAAGCGCATGTCTTTGAGGTCTCCACTCCACATGGAGAAGGAGACTGATGACCCCTTTTGGGATCCCTTTGGCTCCTCGGGTGAAGAGGAACTCAACGCCGAGCTGGGCGAGTAAACAATTGAAACAGAGGGCGCCTTCTCACGGCAATGCCCCCCCCCCCCTCTCAACGCGTCCGAAGCTGTAATCGCTGCAAGACACGTTGGTAAATAATATCGCCACGTGCCCAGAAAGCAAAATAGTTTTGATATATATCAGCTAATGTACCAAGCGCCTTTTAAAACTTACAGCATCTTTTAGCATAATTGCACAAATCATCCGGTAATCTACACACGGATGCTGACAAACACACAAGCATCTTGGTGGGGACAGTAGATCCTTTTGCCGAGCTAGCTTGTCGACAACTTGGTCGAGAGCTACGTAGATCCCCGGAGCTACCCGCGGCTCTGCTCTTCCATCATCTCTAAGCAAAGGGACAGGGGAGGATTAAGCAAGTTCGCCGATCCAGAGATCTAAAGATGCAAAAAATGCTTCTGAAGACCCCACATAGCTGGAAATAGACTGTGAGTCCACGACAACACCGTTGGCTCTATCGGCGGACTCCACAACCTCATCAAATTCCGCTTCCGCCGTTTCTTACCAATTGGCGGCGCTGCTGTGCGCGTTGTGCCTGTCGCTGATCCTCAGCCAAGGATCTACGCGGCAACACTTCGGAAATGATCACAGACATGCGGCAACCCATTGGAGCTAGCTTCAGCGTGGCCATATCATGCTGGTGGTGTGTGTGTGCGTGCGAGGGGGGGGGTCAGGAAATGGATACACTGCATCGTCCATCTTGTCTTCATGGCCGTCCTGAGTGGGCGTACCGCTTGGTCGACCTCGAACGTCTCCTCTTTGTCTATATAAGAGTGCGAAACCGACCATATCATAACGTCTCCGACCAGCCGAGCACCTTCCGACTCCGATCCGACGTATCGCAAAACTTTATATGTCGTACTTAATACCTAAATTTGGAGGTTTCGTAAAAGCGCGCTAATTGGTTCATTGAGCGTAATTACTCCTCGTAAACGAGTGGCGCCAATGCAATATTGACTGCGCCATTTTGCCCTGCAAGCTCAGTGCTCGATTGACCACCTGGAACGGTGAATTGAGGGGGGCGTACCGCGCATCGGTACACCTAAGAGGGTATGTCGCGGCAACAAAGAACAGTGGATCACCGTTAATTCCCCGTCGAGCACCCAGATGAGTATCCCTGTGCTGTTGTTGTCTAACCCCCACCGATGTAGCTCAATGGTAGAGCTCCCGAAAGGGAAGGAGGTGGTTCAAATCCACCCATTGGTAAAAAATTTATGCTCGAATGCCTTGCAAGTCTCTACATGATTGACATGATATAAGAACCAGCTACAAGGACACAGAGAGATTGGATTGTGTTACGGGAGCAGCTTGAGCATGCTTTGGTGCTGTGTTGGTGTAGGGTCTACAACTCTGCCGATGGTAAAACGCTGATGGTAGGCACTGATGAGACTATTCAGCTTGCCTTCGCGGTGCATCTGCCGAAGAACCTTAAGCACAGCGTTAGATCCCTTTGACGGTACGCCCTGCTCGCCTAGGAACACTGTGACTTGGTTTGACGCTAACTCTCCGAGCTGACGTACTGTATCTCTGTAGCTGGATGATAACTCGTCGAGCGCGTAACCGTCTTCGATGAAGAGCCTCATGAAGGCCACGAGCTGCTTGGAATCCGATTTCTTGTTCTTATTAGTACTCTGCCATCCACGCGGAACAGCCGTGTACCACGCAAACCACGTGTCAACAAGCGGTATTGTCTTGGATCGACGGCGACGCTTTACTGGTACGATTTCATCTTCGTCTCGTACTCGCTTGGCTTGATTATCTCGTGCTAAAGTTTCCCCTTCGGTGTTGTTCATTGCAGCTTCTAGCGAGTTAACTCGAGCTTCAAGGCTACGGTTGACCTCAATTAACCTTTCAATCAAGGCAGTTTGATAATTCAACGCAGCGTTGGCCTTTACATTTTCTTCAGTCATGGCTTCGGCGGTGGTGTTGGCGTGTTCATTTGACGCTGTGAGCCGTTGTGACCATGCAAGCAGGTTGGTCGTCGTCACTCCAGAGGCTTCCGCACATAGGTGAATTGTCTTCATTGCAGGTGTCTTCGCGTTGATCTTCACTAACGACGGGTAGTGGAGGAGGAGGGTTGCTGTTAGCACATCTCTTACAACAGCGCAGACGTTAAAGGCCTTGTTACCCAGATCATGGCTCGAGTTGAAAAGCTTCCGGCTAACCTCTTTAACCTTTTCTAGTGTTGCAGCGTCGAAGGATTCCAGGGACGGGAGAGAAGAGGCTTGCTTTGGCGTCATCCCACTCAGCACCTTAGCAACTTGATGATCTTCTTTAGGGGTGTTGAGGACGTACGCAAAGGCTTTGTTAGTCGTAGTCAAGTTCCAAGCTCCGCGATCAAAGATCCATTGAGCTGCCAGCTCTGAGTTTGCGTTCGCGTGTTGCGCGCCGCCACGGCGAAACGAATGTGACGTCAGCGACACTTCGACTCCAGCAGGACCAGCAACGCGATCGATCACGCGGTTGACAAGAGCGTGGATTCCAACTGTTGGTGTCGCGTGAACAGTGGTGCTACTTGGCGACGTCTGAGTAGAATTCAGGGCACTATTGTCGTCAAGGAGTTCCAGTAATGGTATCGAGGCAGCTAGGTCAACAGGAACGTCCTTCGACTTCACCGGCAAATGGTTTAGCAACGCTGCACACGGAGACTCCTGCGTAATCAAGGCCAGCGCGAGCGCTAGCAGCGGACAAGTCATGAAGTCAGCGTCAGGAAAAAGTGACAGTGACTGCTCATCGGACGTCTTCACGCGGATGAATCGGATAAAGAAAACCCCTCCAGCTCCGACGGAGAGCTGCTGCTTCCGGACGAATGTAATGTCTGATGCACGGCCGAAGAGGTACCACAGGAGGCACAACAACGCAGCATCTTGGTAGTCCGACGCACAGCGAGCCGTTGAATATAAGTAGCGTATCATCTTCTTGAGATCCTCTTTTGTGCACGCAATAGCCTTCTTGACGAACCCACCACTTTCACGCTTGATGCAGTGCTGTTCAAGGGTACGCCCCATGCTGAGCAGCTGTCGTGCTACAGCGCCACCTTAAACAGGATACTCATCCAAAAGCCAGCATTTCACCTGGCGGAAGTATTGAGCGACGGAGTGGCGCGACAGAGGCTGCCCCTTTGCTCCTGCGTGGAATGCCAGGTACACACCAAACTTGTCCATTAGAGTCACTAGTATACTACTCGCGCGACTAGAGTCTGCGACGATCAAAGCCACGACGTGCTCCATGGTAGTATTCTCTAAAGACAGGAAGCGCTCAAACGCTTTTAAAGCCGTCGCACGCGCGCGCTTTGTGTTGGCGGGCTTCAAGTCGTTCAGGCTTATTGTTCTTGGTCGGAGAGGTAGAAATATGCAGGTGATACGTGGCAAACCTTTAGCAAGTATTACTATACACATATCTGGTCGTCAACTCCGACTAGATACGTCGGAATCGCTCAGCTTCCGACTGCACCCTAAACTATAGTTTTAATTGGATATAATTGTATTCTTGAAGCAATTTGATTCGCCCAATGCAACGGAGATCGCTTTAATTGGCTATAAAGAATAAGAAACGATTATCATTGGCTAGTGCGCAACATACTAAAAGTAAGATCCGTCGGAGAGATAATGTTATTCATCCATAGCAGCAGTTTACATCGGCCCCCTGGTATTAGCCCCGGTAAAATCCACCACCAAAGCATCCGGAGCGTCGGCATCTTCTGAGGTGCAGTTTTCATTTACATTCGAAGCCATCTCGGTTATGCGAGCTACCTTACACAACCCAGTAGTCTGCTTGGGACTGTAGCAACACACGCAAGGCTAACGCTGAAATAGCATAGATCGCCTCGGCTGATTCCATTAAGATTCTCGCTACGCCTTAAAGCGCGGAAGGGCAGGCTTCTTGAGCAAAGTGCACAGTGTAAAACGGAAAATCTACCACGAGTCGGGTCTCCATTTTAGCTCGAGCTGCTGTTATTCTGGATTATTTTATGGCTACTAGGCTGGAGCTTTTACGTGACTTTAATGCTGCGCTAATGTTGTTAAAGAAAACAAAATTGACAATCCTGAACACACGTGTTGTTTTAAATTTAAACTTTGTTAAATTTTGAAAACAAAAACAAAGTTTAAGTTTCGAGTCAACAATGGAGCTGGGGTGGGAGAATTCATGTACGTGCGCCTGCCAACCTTCTCCTACACTAGCCCCTGCGCACTATTGACTGCGTCTTCTTCTTCCCGCGACGTTCGATTCCCGTCAGCTCTTCTTGCACGCACTAACTGGTGTTTGTGTATGTCAAAATATGGGTGTGAACCAGACTCGGAAGGCTACGGCGTGAGCCAAGGGTGCGTCTCGGCTTCTTCAGGCACAATGAAGGTGTTTTAGGTGCTGATTTAGGCGCTTACGAGGTCATTTGTGCTGCTCTAGTAGCTACGGCGATGAGGCGACGGCTTTGACTGGCGAAAACAAGCCTCGCATCTTGCTCATGGGCCTGCGCAGGTAGCGTCAACCTGCATTCATCTGCTGTTCTCCCTCCAGTATATTAACAGTGAGTTTATTTGTATCCTTGCAATAGGAGTGGCAAGTCGAGTATCCAGCGCGTGGTGTTTCACAAGATGTCGCCGCATGAGACGCTCTTCCTAGAGGGCACCAACAGCCTCGACATCAAGTACATTGCCAATAATTCCTTCGTGCAGTTCCAGATCTGGGACTTTCCTGGAGACTACGACTTCAAAGGTGGCTCAAAACTGACGAGAGGTAGAGTAAGTATACAGAAGGCAACTTACAGAGAGTGCTGGTGGTGTATGCAGAGGACCTGGTGTACGGCGGTCAGCTCGTGAACGAGGAAATGATCTTCAGCAACTGTGGCTCCATCGTCTTCGTCATTGATGCGCAAGACGAGCCTTACGCAGAGGCACTGGCGCGTCTGCACGACACGGTCACACGTGCGCACAGATACAACCCGGACATCCTGTTCGAAGTGTTCATCCACAAGGTGGACGGTGACCTTTTTCTCTCGGACGACCACAAAATCGGTAAAGACAGTCGAAAGGCTTGCTGGTGGGAATATGCTCTTAGATAAAAATATATTGTATGGGCTGATACGACAGACTGCCAGCGCGAGATCCAGCAGCAGATCATGGACGAAATCAACGACGGAGAGCTGGACATCCACATGAGCTTCTACCTCACCAGTATCTACGACCACTCGATCTTTGAGGCGTTCAGTAAAGTCGTGCAGAAGCTGATTCCGCAGCTGCCGACGCTGGAGAATCTTCTCAACATCCTCATCACGGTTGGTCATTTATTAGCACTATACCGCTGGTCCGTCGTCCACAGATGTCGCTGACAGTGCCCTTTGAACAGAGCTGCAACATGGAGAAGTCGTTCCTGTTTGACGTCGTGAGCAAGGTCTACATTGCGACGGACAGTAACCCTGTCGACATGCAGTCGTACGAGCTGTGTAGCGACATGATCGATGTCGTCATCGACGTCTCCTGCATCTACGGGTGAGTGGATTGAACGACGGGTCACGATGTTTTTTTTTCTGCTATTTTATTTCTGCGCCATTATGAATTACAGTATGAAAGACGACGGGGAGGGCGATGGCCTGGCGTATGATTCCAAGTCTTCGTCGGTGATCAAGCTCAACAACGGAATGGTTCTGTACCTCCGTGAAGTGAACAAGTAAGGCAGATCTAGTCATGTTGCACGTTGTATTCGTATGCTCCTACTCATCACCGCGGTCGTTACTTTGCATTTGATAGCTATCTGGCTCTAGTGTGTTTGCTGCGTGCCGAAAATTTTATGAAGCAAGGAATTATCGACTACAACATCGACTGCTTCAAGTCAGCCATTGGCGATGTGTTCAAGGCACCGAAAGCGATCGAGTAGATTGGTTTACGCTGCAATTAAGCACACAGAGTAGCTTTATTGCTGCTAAAGCCACTTTAGTAGTACAAAGTACTGTATGTTTACGACGCCAATACGTAGTGGGGAAAATTAAACAGCAGAAAATGTCGCTCAATGTTAAACAATATCCAGACTTCAGTAATAGATAATTCCGTGCAAAAAACAATTATTATTGCAGCTGCCAGTAATGTAAATTAATCTGTTTTTGGTACTATTTAATTGTTTTTAGTATAACCAGCAAAATACTTTGGCTTGCCCAAGTATTAAAAATAATCAATAATTAATCAGACTTTTCGTGTAGTGCCGCTGGTAGAAGAGCGATGATAGAGGTGCTGCAGCGCCACTTCGCGCTGGTGGATGCAGGCTTCTGCTTCGTAGCAAAGCACCGTGCGGCTCCGACCGTGCGCAGCGTACTACGTGTGGCCAACAGCTTTGGTAGCTCGCAGCTCACGCGCCAAAACCTCTTGGAGCTAGCCGCCATTGCCCCAGATCTCCTCGTCCTAGAACGTCCAAAGACTTCTCTCCAGTCTCGGGCAGGTACTTTAGATTTTCTAATTCTTTTAGAATACCGGCATTTACCATCTACTTGTAGAGGAAGCCTTTAATCCGACGCCAGCTCGTGAAGAGGATCTCGAAGTCGTGACGTTCCCGCCGGCGCCACAGTCTAGTCAACTAGCCAGCACCAAGAGAAAAAGTTTATTCGATGCGGCTTTGAAGAAATATGAAAGTTTGTTGGGAGGTCTGGGGCAGACTAAAGAGCTCCAGGCCTCTACTGGTAGTAAGAACTCGACTGATCCCAAGAAGTTCTTGAAGAAGTCCTCAAACTCGACCCCAAATGAACAGACGCCACTTCAAAACGACTGGGGCTCGTCGGTGCTGATGATGCTGCAGCAGATGGATCTGTACAGTAATCAGATTGCTCACGTGGAGCGCCGCAGCGCACGGCCAGCTCAGTATCGAGCCCTTGAGCCATTGCAGCTGTCTGAAAAGGTAACAAAGGCCCTGGAGAAGTGCTACACCATTAAGCAGCTGTACTCGCACCAGTTCGAGGCCGTCGAAGCGATCCTCCGCGGAGAGAATGCCGTACTGTCGACTGCTACAGCGAGCGGCAAGTCGCTCGCGTTCAATGTTCCGATGCTGGAGATGCTACTTGAAGACCCGAACGCAAGGTTTATGTACTTGTTTCCGACCAAAGCGTTAGCCCAGGATCAACTCAAGTCACTGAGACGGTTCATGGGGGCTGCAGACCTCCCACTTCACCTCGGAGCGACATTTGTAAGTTTTTTTTTTCTTCATTTTTATTCGCCTAAGGTAAGTTCACTCTTTTGACTGCTATACAGGACGGAGACACGCCAATGAAAAGCCGCTCAATGGTCATCCGCGAGACTCGCGCATTCCTCACCAATCCAGACATGCTGCATTTGACAATCCTGCCACAACATAAGCAGTGGAAGCACGTGCTTTCAAACCTCAGGTACTGAACTAGCATGCAGCACTCAGCCTCGCTACCGCTATCTTACGAGCGTTACGCGTTCCTCTTCGTAGACTGCTGGTTGTTGACGAAGCGCACATGTACCGAGGTGTGTTTGGGTCGCACGTTTCCTGCGTCTTCCGTCGACTATTTCGCTTGTGTGCGCTCTACGGCTCCAACCCGCAGGTGGTCTGCTGCTCGGCTACAATCCAAAACCCAGAGGCACATTTCCGTCAGCTGATACCTGCTCTTCCACGGCAGCCAATGTCTCTCTCGAGGGAGCGCGCAGATGCCACTAGAGAGGAAGAAATGGGGCCACCCAACTTGCATTTCTTTCGACAGCGGCCTCTAAAAGTGATCACCGAAGATGGCGCTCCATCAGTAGAGAAATTATTCTGCATCTGGAACCCAGAGATGGCGAAAATGAGCTGTTCGATCAACTCACAGCAGGGGAAGAGCCCGTCACAAACTGCTGTAGTCTCCAAGTCTGCTACGTCCGCGGTAATGCCCAGAAAACGCAAACGTACGGAAGACTCAACGAGCACAAAGACTTCGGGCGACGAAGAGCAGAAGGAGGAGATCAACTTCAGTACCAGTGCGATTTACCAAGGATCTCGCATCCTGGCTCGCTTGGTAGAAGCAGAAATTGCGACGCTGCTCTTCTGTCGAGGCAGGAAACTTACCGAACTAGTGCTCATGAACGTCCACTCGGCGCTGAAATCTGATCCCAGGACGCAGAATCTGCTTCGACGCGTTAGTTCCTATCGCGGAGGGTACACGCTTGAAGCCAGGCGACGGATCGAGCAGCGGTTGTTTCGTGGCGATTTGCTCGGTGTGGTGGCGACGAATGCTCTGGAACTAGGTATCGACATCGGCGAGTTGGATTGCACGATCCACCTTGGCCTTCCATCCAGCATTGCGTCCTTGTGGCAACAAGCAGGACGTGCAGGTCGACGACAGCAGCAGTCCAGGCAAAGCCAGTCCGTCGCCCTCATTGTGTGCTTCGACGCGCCTTTGGACCAGCATTTTGCGCAGAAACAACACGCCGTGGAGCTCTTCCAACTCGAGCCAGAAGCTGTTAGCTTGAACCCCATGAATCCCCGTATCCTCGGACAGCACTTGTTGTGTGCTGCTCGCGAGTCAGCCTTGTATTCCTCCCAGTCCGGAACAGATTATATCGACTCATTCGTTTTTGGGGGCATGCAGGCCAGCTCAAGTACGACAGAAGACAACGTCAGTAGCGTGCTCCTACCTCTTGTCAAGGAGAAAAAGCTGATGCAAATTTCTGAGACTGGTGGACACCTGAGCTATCGAGTTCATTCGTGCATGCCCAAGAAGTTTCGTGCGGTGAGCTTACGCAGCATCTGTGAAGAAAACTACACGGTAGTGGCTACAAACAGCGATGCCGTTAACGAAGCGGCTGACGGGGAAGTGTTGGACGAAATCCCGGGAGATAAAGCGTTCTTCCAAGTGTACCCCACAGCTGTTTACCTCCATCAAGCCCAAGAATACTTGATAACCCGCTTGGACAATACCCAGCGCATCGCCTTCGCGAAAAAGTGTAACCAGCCACTGGCCTACTTCACAACTTGCCGGGATTTCACTGACCTGGAAGTTGTGCGAATACACAGCACCACGCAACTTGGACCCAGACACGAGAAGCCGAAGAGCGAGTCCGTTCTGGTTCGAGTTGGCACCGTCTCCATTCTGACGCGAGTTATTGGATCCACGATGCTGGAAAAGCGGACGATGAGATGGTTGGGAACCCACGACTTCTCGCTACCACACATGCGGTCTTTTGGGGAAGCTGCATGGCTCGAATTCCCAGTCACACTACGAAGGCAATTCGAAGCGAGAGGCGGACGGTCGTGGACTGCAGCTTTGCATGGAGTCGGTCACCTGTTCGTCGCGCTTGTGCGTCTCTTCATCCTTTGTGACACTGAAGATGTTGGTACTGAGCACGTGAATGAATTCGAAAAGCGCGTCAAGTATTGCGATGGCATTTTACTTTTCAATGAGATAGACACATTTTTTTAACAAATTTTGTGTATTTGGTCAGACCGAACCGAGTCACAATCTTCGAGCGACGAGAAGGGGGAAGCGGATTGGTACCTGAAATCGTCAAAGTGCTGCCAAAGGTACGTTTCAGTTTTCTGCTATTTTTTTTAGTTTGGGTGCTCATGGCCACTGGCTGGACTAGCTGATTGAAAAGGCTCGGACGATTGCAAGCGAGTGTTTGTGCTCCGATGGCTGCCCGGCTTGTATCCAATCCTCTGGATGCTCCGAGTATAACCACGTGCTGGACAAGCAGGGTAGTCTTCAGGTGCTTGACTATCTCCACAGTGTAGCTGGAAATTAACACTTTTTTGCGGACGTGTCCATATTTGTTTGGATTGCCTGTCGTCTACTAGAATTGTACTGCACGTTTTGTAAATGGATGTGTAAGTACACTAGACCAAGTAACACAAAGCTAGAAACTTTGAATACTTCAGGTATGTGCCAAAACCGGTATCAAATACTACGTTTTAATAGTACTACTGTACTGCTCATCACTGCATATTTATTTCTATTATAATCATAGTGCTATGCTAACGAACAGGTTTGTGCCAAAACCGGTATCAAATAGTAGTACTACGTTCTAATAGTACTAGTGTACAGCTCATCACTGCATATATATTAATATTATGTTAATAGTGCTATGCTAACGAATTGTTAACTCAGTGTGGTATGCTACTCAGGTACAATCTAGTGGCCCTGGCATTTCTAACGCCAGGATAAGGCGAGTACATGTAATGGACCTGCGGAGGATAAAATTATAGCATTTCAGAGTGACACTGTATTGCTCTGGGAAGCATTTGCCTTCAAGTGTAATTTTGTGTTACCTGAGGTACCACACACGCAGGATGTCGCTTTAATGTTTGGCCTTGGTTGCGAGTGCCTTGTAAAAATCTTCATACCTTGCGAGCTGTTCCTTGTTCCTGAACAATCCCACTTTCCTCGCCTTCTCTGGGGTCATGCCCTTGTTGTTTCTAAAAATGCGAGCAAACAACTGGGCCTCAACGTTGTCCATCTTAGCGGGTGGAGCTGGAGGCTTCTCTTGAATCTTCTTCGTAACTCTGTTCAGTGTTTGGCCGTTGGGTTTCACCTTCGTTTTTGTCAACGCCACAGCAAGCATCTTCTGCTTTTCTTTGCCCGCTTTGAGCTCGTTAGCCACTTTATTCAGATCAGGTATTTTCACGCGCTCTTCGTTTTCTGCTAGGTGCGATGCCAACTCATCCTCTCCCTCGTGGAAGGCTCGAAGAAGTCTTTTTCGCGATGCCCTCAGTGGACACCTCACCAGGAGCCCAGAAATCGTGTCCCGTCCTCAAAAAGCAGCTCTGCCTGGTTGGATTCTGCAGAAATTGGATCGCTAGCTAGGACTAACGCTGCAACAACCACGTAGTGCAAACATTTATTGAGCATGATACGACGAGCGGGCAGCTGGCGCTCTTTGTTAAAACCTGGAATGAAAAGCTCCGCTTTAATACCGGTAACAGTAAAACCATCGTAAATAAGTCACAACGGTAAGCTCTCCTCGCAGTACATGTACATGTACGTGTACCGGTATGTGGGAAACTTCCTCCGTACTGCACATCAAATCTCTGGATAGCATCCAATGCTTGTTAGCCTCCGTATCTACTGTACATGTAGATACGTACAGTTTGGATGCATTGACCAGTATAAATTAGCGTACCGACTTCTCCATGTTGTGCCGGACGATTTTTAAGACGGACAATCGATTTCTACCAATAAAATTGTTTTATTATTGGCCTTTCTTGTCTCCATGTTAAGCCGGACAGTGCAGAGACGTGCCTCTTCCACCGTCTCTTCGCAGTCTGAGATTCAATGGAAGGCGCTCATGCTGAAGAAACTGAGGCAGACGAACTCACCCAGCGGGCGAAGCCTGTAGGTCGCCCACGCCTTAACGAGAATGGCGGACGTAAACCGCTTAAACGAAAGGTGGGATCATACACTAACCAACTAAAACTCGATGCAGCGACCCACCTCGAAAAGCACAACGATGTCAAAGCAACGATTAGGCATTTCTGGCCGGAGCTAGACTCACAGCACTACGATAGCAGACGAAAATTAGTTTTAGACTGGAAAAAAACAAAGCTAAGCTAATGAAGGCGTGCTGCTTAAAGTACCCGAAGGCGCTACTTCTGTGGCGCAACCAGCAGATGTGGCGAAATGGATTGCACAAGGCTGGGAAATGCTCACGCCATCAGCAATCTCAAACGGATTTAAGAAAGATTCTGACGCGGATTTTGATAGACCAGGGTTGGAATCTGAAACAAGCACAGCAAATCAATAGACTCATTTTTTGTTCTGAAGTTCAAATTTTTTTTTTATGGATCCAATCGGTGTAGATAGGGTGTCCGGCACAACATGGAGAAGTCGGTACAGTGTAGTTTGACCTGTTTGCTTTTATTATTCCTGAACAGAGTTCCGCTACATGTACAAAAGCAATACAATCCGTGGCTAATGTACCTGTGTTATTTACTGATACACTGTAATGTCGATCTTTAATATCGGTATTATAGTTCCTTTTATTGCAGAGAAAATGCAACACTAACCAGGTAAACCGGCCACAACTTTTAGTCTTGTCAATTTTTATCATTTAAGGTCAATAGCATGCGACAATTTTTGCACTTCATCAGGAATTA